GGCTCACGGGGTCCGGGTGCAGCCGGAGGCTCTCAGTCGGTCATTCCGGGAGGCGTATGGAGCCCAGAGCAGGCGCTTCCCCAACTACGGCCGGGGCCAGGGGCTCAGCTCCCAGCAGTGGTGGGTCGACGTTGTGCAGCAGACCTTCAGGCTCTCAGGTGTGCACGAAGAGGGAGTCCTAACGCTGATGGCCCAAAACCTCTACCGTGACTTCTGCAGTGCCTGCAACTGGGAGGTGTTGCCGGGAGCCAGCGAGACCCTGAGCCAGTGCTGCCAGCGCGGCTTCTGCATGGGGGTCGTCTCTAACTTCGATAAGCGGCTGGAAACCATCCTCTCCCAGTGCAACCTGCGGCACCACTTTGAATTCATCCTCACCTCTGAGGAGGTGGGTTTTGCCAAGCCAGACAGGAGGATCTTCGAGAAAGCCCTGCGCCTTGGTGGGGTCCCCCCGGAGCAGGCAGCTCATGTGGGGGATGACTACAGCCGGGATTACAGGGCAGCCCGAGCCGTGGGCATGCACAGCTTTCTGCTCCGGGCTGCAGGGCAGGGCGAGGAGCTGGAGGTGCCACCTGAGCATGTCCTGCCCACGCTCAGCCACCTCCTGGCTCTTATTGAGAAGGGGTAGTGGCATTTCAGAGGAGGACCAGTGCCGCTTCTGGGCAGTCAACCAGTCCTGGTGTGGGATTTCTTGCTGGCAGTTGGGCAAGAAAAAGAAGCGAGAGCTTCGGAGCACAGGGAGCAGTGCTGCCTGCAGAGCAGGAGGGGTGTTAACGCAATAAAATGTACCTGATGCTTAGCATTGCTGCTGATGTCTTTCATAGCTCTAAAACCTCTATGGAAGAGGGTCAGTGGTGGTGTCTTCCCCTAATGGAGCTGGGGACTGGGTCAAGCTGCACTCCAGAAGGCTCGTGCTGGCCGGAGGGATGGAGGCAGACACTGAGGTCTGTTCCTTCTTGGTCACCCCAGGGAGAGGCTCGAGCATCCCCCTGTGCAAGCGCATCAGCTGGGGTTGGTCCTGCCCCAGGGAAGGTCTGTCCATGCAGAGCACCCAGGAAACCCGCGCACCTCTGTGTACCCCGGGTTTGCCACCTCACCAGCTTCCCTCTCTTCCTGACAGCGGTGGCCAGGATGCAGTTGCAGCCCTCCTGCTGTGGGCAAACAGTCTGGAGTTGGGCAATTTCACTTAATTTAATATACTGCCAATTATCAAACTTTACTGATTTGAGTATTGAGACAGATTTTAAACCTCTCCTGCCCTTCTCCCTGGCTCAGCCTCAGTCCAACACCTCTTCTTCCTCCCCGCCTAACACCAGCTCCCTGTGGTTTTGCCACGTTGCACTCAAACCCCCTTCCTTTTGGCAAGGCAAGGAGCAGCTCAGGTTAGGTTTCTTTGCTGCTCCTTGCTTCTTACTCTGAGGGTCCCCCCTAGGTGACAGTCCCCTGCACTGTCCCTGCTCTAGCATAGGGCAGCTCCTCCCAAAAGTGTGTCTCCAGCTGTGTCCCAGTGATGTCCCTTTCCCTGTGTCTCCTCCCTGCCATTTCTCTAAACACATCTCTTTTAGTATTTCTCCTGTTTTCTCAAGCCCGCTGGCAGGCTGGAAAGCTGCCCTGGGTCAGAGGGGAATTAAATGATTCCTCTCAAAGTGGCTGGCAGAGCCAGGCACCGCCCTGACCCCTCGCCCTGGCACAGCAGACACAGGGTGGGTGTAGCCTCCAGGAGAGGAAAGCTGCTGTAAAACACGTGAAGAACAGACGTAGTCTGAAAGCAGGTCTTGGCTGAACACCACTGTACACAAGCCAGTAGCCCCATGTGGGCTCCTTTCCCCCATACAGGTGCTCTATAGAGTATATACAGTCACTGTATATACAACTGTGCATTCACCCCCTCAGCGAGCGCAAGGCTTTGCTCACTGGACAAGCGAGATGCTCTGGTGGGCCACAGCAAAGACGGGATAGAGGGGCTCCACGAAGGTCTCCCTGTGGGAGAAGAGGATGGTGCAGGAATCGGGGTCATAAAAGAGCACCTCCCCTCCCGCAAAGTCAACCAGCACCCCGATCTCGGCCGGAGCCTTGATCAGCTCCACCGCCTGCGGCTGCCCCGCGTGCAGGAACCTGAACTCCTTGTCGTAGCGCGAGAAGACCCAGGAAGCAGCGTTGAAGCCCAGGCGGGCTTCGTTGCTGGACCCCTTCCGTGGCAGGGAGCTGTAGCAAACCCCCAGCTTGTAGGCGCAGCTCTTCTCCACGCTGATCTTCCACGCGCAGACTCCCGAGTGGAAAGCTGCAGCAGCCAAAGCGTTGGGCCAGTGGTCAAACCGCTTGGGGCAGTCCAAGTCCACCTTTGCTTTCTTGGGGCTGAAGGTCAGGGTTTTCTTGTCTTCTGACAGGCTGAGGTGGGGGCTGACAGTTTTTTCATCGATGTGAATCTCCTGTGAGCCTGCAAGACAAGCCACGTGGTGAGTGCCGACTCGGTGGTCCCCAGCTGGACCACCTGAAGAATCCACGGCCGTCAGAAACACAACCACAACTGCCCTCTCCTCGCACGTTGCTCCTGTGGACCCAACTGCTCCCCCGGGGTGACGTGTTAGGGGCTCGGGCTGGGTGCCAGCACAGCAGCTCCCCACAGCCTCCCCTCTCAAGCCAGGGCCAGAACAACACACGGACTCATCAAAGCCCAGACTTCACCAGACACCTCTCCACCCTTGCACTAGAAGTCCTGCAGAGTCAGAGAAGATGCTGCTCATCTTCCTCTGACCCTGGCCTGCATCCACACAAAACAGAACTCGGCAGGTTTGGTTCATGCCACTTCTGGGAGACACCCAAGCCTCAGCCCCCGTCCCTTCCCAGCCCCACTGTGGGTGAGCAGGATCTGACTTCTCCTCCCCCAGCCGCGGTGAGTCGAGCTTGCACAAGGACCAGGACTGCAGAGCTGTTTGCAGAAAACCTGCAAAACCGGTAGTATGGGAATGAGGAGGAAAGGAGAGGGCTGGGCAGGGGAAATCCCTTTCCTCCTAAGAAAGCCCAAGTCCTTAATCAACCCACCCTGAGCTCTTTTGGAGCAGCCGCGGGAGGTGGTACCAGGCATTAGAGCTGAGCACAGCCACGACTCGGTTTGGTTTTGCTGTGAATGAAGGAGCTGCCCAGCCGCCTGGTACCACAGCCCAAACCCAGCGTGCTGCAGCCCGGGGTGAGAGCCAGGCTGGCCGGAGGATGCCTGCACCCCCCGGGGTTCTGCTCCACTTCAGACCCGCCAGCTGGCAGCACCCAGCACCGCTCACCCTGCCCTGGCCGCACGCTCCCCCTGCGAGACCCCTCAGCGGGTCTGCAGACCGGGTGCGAGAGCTGAAGAACTGCACAACCATTTCCCTCGCTAAGCAAAGAGACAGGCTGGTGCCCAGCTGTCTCACCTCCTCCCGGGGAGACCGAGTTTCTACCTGCAGGTGCCCCTCCTTGTCCTGCCTTCCCTCACCCTCACTTCATCCATTTTCAGTCTTAAACTACCAAGAAAACAAGGCTGGAGCAGGTGAGTCGTTTGCTCTCCCAGCCCTGCTGCCAGCAAGGGCTCTACCCTCTCATGTCTGCTCCAGCCATGTCCCAGCCACCCTCTGCTCGGCACCCAGCACGTGGCAGGATGAGACCCTTAAAGAATTAAACCATTACGCTGTACCCTGAACGGGGTCATCCCGGAGCCCGACCTGCTGCAGCACCGACGCGGACCCAGGTCAGCATCGCGCCGAACAGCAGCAGCGCTGGCCGAGGGTTCCCTCGGGTGGCCCCTGCCCTGGTGCCCCCCGGCAGGAGATGAACCGAGCGCCACACACACTTCCACTTTAGGTGGAAGATATTGCAGGCAACAGCGAGCAAGAAGAGGAGCTGCAGACAGCATCCCCTTCCAGCTGAAGCAGACCACCTCGTTCATCGTTTGATGATTTATTTCACCAAGCAGCAGCCAAACACTTGGCAGGGTGCCTGCCCACCACGCTGTGCCCTCCGTAGGTCTCTGCAGCTCTATTTGCCCACGCTGCCTATTTGTAGGTTGACTTTCGAGGAAGCCAAACGCTGCTATGAATTCATAGAAAACGGAGCGGTAGGAGACTTTATCTTCCCCTGACAGAAGGGCACTGAACCTCATATTGTCCAACACACATCTAACGTAGGTGTGGGGTTGCATTCCGGTGTGCATGTAAAGGGATCATCTGCACAAGAAAATACCGCCCTGATGACACCCATGTAGCTTCGTTGTGGAATTATGATTACAGGGGGGCATCTGAGGGAGAGGAAGCACTGGCAGAGTAACAGCAGGGTAATTCATAGCAGCAAATTTTCCCACACAGACAAGTGTTTTGTCATGATTAAATCTGCCCTCCAGATATTCCCATATATTCTGAGGAACGATTCCACCGGGAATTCATCGCACCCTAAAATCCGTTTACTCTGCATACAGTACCCATTGGAGCGGCCCTGCCGCTTTAGAGAGACGAGGGATGCTGAGCAGGTAAGTTACCACAGCTAACATCTCTGTCAAGGACGTATGTGTTAACTCCAGCACATTTTACTACTTTTAAAAAGCCAAGTTCCCACTTCCCAACTCACACATCTGAAACAAAAATCCTCGTAGCTAGGTTTAGGCGCCAAGGTGGAATCCAGATCCAGCCTGGTCCCCTCCATGGGCAGAAGGTCACCATGGAGCAGCCCAATGGCTCAGCCAGCTGGGACAGCTTCAGTCTGTGTCACCCCTGCGGAGGGTCCTCCCTCAGGTCTCCAGCAAGCACCACCTCTTACCTGCCCCCCAGCAGGACTAACATGGTTGGCCATGAACCAAGATCCCTCCCAGAACAGTGTCAGGAGATTTACATCATCTCAGTTTAAGGAAGAAGATGCCAACCCCAAACGTAAGCAGTACAGAAGCCCAGGTGCCAAGCGAAGACATCGAAGGAATTGCGTTTATTTTTGAGAGTGAAATGGAGGTTCTTTCGCCTGCTGGTTTCCAAGGTTTCGAGAGGCCACAGGGCAAACAGCCAAGGCTAGGAATCTACACTTTTCAAGCAACTAAACAAGACTGCCACCTGTTCAGCTGTCTTTGGGAGGAGGGACCACCAAGTGAAACACAACATTACTGTGTCTTAACAAAAGCTAGGACCACTGCAGTTAATATTAAATCTCTAAGGCTAGGTCCTGGGTGGACGATGGACTAGCGAGACAAGCAGGGACATGGCAGGCATCCTCAGCATGCAGTAATGACACGTTAAATGTAACCACAGAAAAACCCAAACAAAACCAGCACTCACAGACCCTACGAGGCTTGAATGCCTTAGAGTCATCACATTTGACAAGGATGCTATTGGGAAAGGAAGCCATAAAAAAAACTATGTCACAACAAAGAGAATTAGGGAAAGGTTTCCTGCACGGCTTGACAGCACTGAACTTCTGCTGAGAACCTGCCCAACCGTGCCAATGTACAACTGCAGGAGTGTGCATGACTGCCAGCACCCAAAGACTCAAAACAGAAGGAAATTAATCACAAAGGGAAAGCAACACTAGAGTTTGCAGTAGAAGAAACAAATGACAGTGCTGTCCAGTACACACAGGTTCTCAAGCTAATACTGGAAAACACAAGAGCAACAAAAGCCAGAAGCACATACCTTGGCGAGGGACCTGGAAATGGAAAAACTGTGAACGGCTCATCAGCATCAAGAGCGAGATGAGCAAAAATCAAAGGTTAATGCAAAAGCTTTGGGAAGATTGACCCCAGGGACTGCTCATGAGGTGGGACACAGGACAAATGTTTTCAAATTGTGAAGGATATTGCCACCTTTGAGAACAAAAACACATTTGAAATGCTCTAACAATGGCCTGGAAGCAAGAGTAAAAGCAAACGTTTCACAATCCGCAATTCAAGCAGCTCACAGCCGGAAGAACCTCTCTGCTGCTCAGCAGAGCCGACACCAACTTGGTAAAACCGTGCCCAGAGCACGTCACTGGCCTGACAAACGCCTCCGATGCAACCTCAGCTGTACAGCAAGAGCTGAACCAGATCACAAACGTCTCTAACAAACCACCAGCTCGTGCACAGCCACAATCTCAGGTTGTGATCAGAAAGGTACTGCATTTACTCACTTCCCATTCCAGCACGTCAGAGCACCTCACAGACGCCACGCGGGCGAGTTCACCCTCTCTTAAAATCACCAGCAGGCCAACAGTAAAGGCAGTAAAGAGGAATTTCTGTGACAGAGATCCCTACAGCAGCATCAGCTTCACTGCTGTCACCAATGACCCAGGAACCAGCAAAAGAAACCGTGTGAGGTTAATCAACAGAGCTGATAAGAGACACAGTCTTTTCAAACTCCTGTTCTCCTCAGCCACAACCAGCTGCTTCGAGCCCCTGTCCCCACTCCCAAACCCCCTACAGCTGCTGCTGCCCCCCTGTCTGGGGGGTTCCAAGCAGCTAGCAGGGGCTGGGACAGCAGAGGAGGACAGGATACCCCATGTCCAGGGCGGGACACAGTATCGGGATGTTTTGGCACAGCAGCAGGACATTTCTTTGGGCACAATATGAATGAACATGCAGGAATCCCCAGAGAGCTTGAGACCTGAGCGAGACACTGACCTGCGAGGCAGCAGAGAACAGCAGAGGCCCACAGTCGATGCAGCAGTGGACTCTGAACACAGGTCTGGTTAAAGTTTAACTTCAGGGACTCCTGGGGCTCTAAGATTCCCTCCGCCACCTCTGTCCTAGCAAAGGAACACAAGAGTTATTTCGAAATACCATGATTTATTGACCAGTCCTGGGAGGCGTTTAAGACCACTAGGAAGTACGACAGAAACATGAGATGGAGCAGTTGCAAGAGGAGCACTTGCTGCGGAGAAACTGCACCGGGGGGTTCTAGACAAACTGTCCTCCCAAGTGATACTTTCGGTTGCCTTTGATTACAGCCCTTTCTGAAAGGACCTCACTGTTTCAAAATACGATCCCAGCAGCCTGAGCCAACAGCCTCCTCACTCAGCAGATTAAACACGTCTGGGAGGGGCCGGGAAGGTACAAGAGGAGCACAATGACCAGGCTGCAGTGAGAGAATCAGATTTCCCTCTATCAACAAAGCCTCGCTGTCAGAGCAAAGGGGGATACAACAGGAAAGCGAGCCAGGACTCCACGCAGCAGAGCAAGGAGACTGAGGATTTGCTGGGCTCCTGTGGCCTGCAGTACACTCATGAACTCATGGTTGTAAGTAAAGGCTGTGGCACTGGCTGCTGGTGATGTGCTGTGGCCC